GCAACGGCCAAATTCATATTTGCCAAACCTCCAAAATCTGGCGATTGAAATATTGTTTCTAAATGCAACAAATGACGAGCATATTCAGTCGTTGGGGTATATGACTAGTGCTCAGGCAAATCTGCTGAATACCGATGTTTGAGTCAGCGTGATTGAACATTTTTCTAGTAGTTGTAGGTGTAAAATGTTTGGTTCAGTAATGAGTTATTGGAAAGCCCTTTTTTCATGTTTGTATGTCAACATTAATGTAAATCATAAAATTATTACAGCTGAGAAAACGATTCATTCGACTAACACCAATTGCTGCACTTGTTCTGCTCAGCATCGTCATAGTAGCCATTTTGGTGCAGGTATTTCAGATGACCACTTCTCAGAAAATTTCGAATGGTTGGATGACTCTAGAAAATCAATCCTTTCACAGATGCAATCAGTAGCAGCAACAAGTAACAGCCTGAATTGCGTTCGCATGTATCGAGGACGAATGCTACCACGTCTCGGTGCTTACCTCACTGCAATTGCATTTCTTTCGAATCTTACAACGATCTCCGTCAATTACGGTCAAATTGTCAGGCATGTTAGGAGGAAGTTCACGAAAAGAAAAGCAAGGGGTTTGTTTTTCCTATAACCCTGCATCTAAATATGTAGCCTATAAAGGGAAATGCTCTAAAGTATCTCAACATAATTTGCTGCTATTACAAAATTTACATTCGTTTTTAAAGATTTCGTTTGATCCTCTAGTGAAGGCTATTAGGAGTATTCCCATCTAATTAAACTCTTTCATAGTGTTAATAGAGTTAAGATAATTTTTCAAACACATACTGTCATACCTTTTTATATACTTCCTCGTCATTTCAGCAATGATCTTTGCATATGTGGTTGTCAAAATGATTTTTTTAGTGGTTGCGCATTCCCGAACAAGAGAATCCATTGTTTCTGAGCCGCGCTATATGAAGGAGATGACAAATGCCATAATCCGAGTATTCGTCTTCCACGTCATCTGTTGGCTGCCATCCTGTTTAATTCAATTTCTACCGGACATGGGACTCGTCTCCGAGCTGCTCACTACAATTCGCTTTTTCAACAATTTCTCTGACTTTAGGTACATTCATTCGTAAAACCTCACTTCATGAGATGTAGTTGGAAGTTAATCAACGAAGTTCTCAGCACTTTGGAACAAATTCAACCATTTTGCTCTTACAGAACTTTGCGATGGATTATGTTTGCTGCTAACTGGTTGACGTATGCGAATGCCGCCGGAAACTGGATATTCTATGCAGCAATGAATAGGGAACTACGAAGTCTCATAAGGTGATTACTGATTTTGATTGTCATGATAAGGAAAATAAAACGGAATTTTTTTAAAAGATTTGCAACCGAAAGAAGAAAACGATCGACTATGTCACACACTGCCTCGCCATCGAACATGCACAAAAACCTGCGGCAGCAGGTACGTAGTGT